GGGGGGCCCGGGTCGGCCACGACCCCCGCTGGCTGGTATAGAAAAACCAGCGCAATGGAATGGGATGGGTGGGGGATAGGATGTGGTGGGGGGGAAGGGAAACCGGATATGGCGCGAACGCACCCAAGTTGCCCCCCCCACACTCGCCCCTCCATTCCTCCTCCCTTCCCAACTTTTCCGTGCCATGGTGAGGACGAGGCGGTGCAAGCAGAGGAGGACGGGAGGGACACTGGAGAAGCTCGCCTGGCCACGCCCCCATGCTCACACGTATGGCCATGTGTTCCAAACAACAACCTTCACCAACTGTATCCGGGGTTATGCTTGGAATCGGTGGCCTGGCGAAGTGAACTGCCTCCTGAGCCTAAGCCCCCGTACCTCCGTACTGGCTCGCAACCTCTTGACACGACGCTCAGAACTGATGCGTTCGAGCTGGCATCACAAAGCCCTGTCGGCCTGGGGCCTATGAGGCGCAACGGCTCGGAGCAGGGGAGTACGGACGATAGAAAGGGGAGGAGGAGGAGGAGGAGGAGGAGGAGGAGGAGAAGGAGAAGGAGGAGGAGGACGAGGAGTGAGGATGATCGGGGGGGAAGCAGCGTGGCCACGACGGGCATCCAGCCGGACTGGACTGACAGCGCGGCACCACACTGCGGAGGAAGAGGGGGAGGAGGAGGAGGAGGATGAGGAGGAGGAGGAGGACGAGGAGGAGGATGAGATGGGATGGGACGGCGCCTCAAGACAGTCGAGACGGGAGGGAACAGCCCGAAAAGAGAGACATAATAATGCTCGAGCACGCACTGCTGGCGAAAGGCTCGAGACGCAGGTATGCGGCGTCACCTGGGGCTGCGCTGCTCGCGCTACCCTCCAGGCCGTTCCTCCCTCCAGACGAGGGAAGTCCACTGTAGCCATTCCCTGAGAGGTACGCAGCATCACTTGGGACCGCGCACAGCGCTATCCTCCAGGCTGTGCCTCCTGCCACACGCAGGAAGACCACCGAAGACACTCCCTCAACAGTGCGCCCGACGCACAGCAAACAGGCTCACGCACCTCCACGGCCGCTTAAGCAGCGGCGGCGAGAGCACACCTGTACTTCTCTATGAGACCCTAGTGCGACTCCAGGCTCAAGCACGCAACCGCGTCGAGCGCCCCATCGCTCACATCAGGGTTGATCGCACGCATTACAGCGAGCAGCTCATGGCACACACTCGCACAAGGGAGAGCACCTTTCTCCACCTTGGTGCCGTCCGCGTCCTCGAGAGGGCAATCGTCGTCTGCCTCCTCCTCGTCCGCGTCCAGGCCGCACGAGTCCGAGCCGTCTTCGACCGCCTCGCACTCCACCTTCTGCTGCTGCTTGAGCACGGCATCCTGCTCCACGGAGTGCGACGCCTCGCCGGTCTTGTCATTATGCTTCAAGATCTGCTCGTCCTGCACCTCCACGGTCGTCTGCAGCAGCTTCTCGCACTTGACGGTCTTACGGATGCCGTCATCCTCCAGGACCTTCTCCACGCAGTGCAACTCCGGCACTGGGTCCTCAGGCACCTCCACGCCGCCCCTCTCCTGGAGGGCCTGGGTCACCTCCTCGAGATTATCCACGTAGTGCGCCTCCTGCGCGTGGACCATGGGCACGGCCACGGACTTATCCATGTGCGGCTCCATGTGGCCGCCGTCCACAAGCGGCGCCACAACGCCAACGATGCCCAGGACGTCCGCCCGCAGAGTCATGGTGATGTCTTTGATGTCAGCGATGGCCTCCAGGACCTTGTCACAGGATCCATCCTCGACCACGGCGCTGTCCTCCGACTGGGACTCCCCCATGCCCGCCCCGCTGTCCACCAGCAGCGGGAAAGCCGGGATGTTGCCGAATCGCTCCTCCTTGAGCTCCAGCTCCTCCTCCCCCGACTCCATGTTGGAGGATATGTCGTAGCTCTCCACGCCGTGCGACCAGAAGCTGTTCGCGTCAACCTTGACGGACCCCACGAACGCCTCGTGGCTGTCCTGGCAAAGCGACACGTCGGGGTGCCCCGCCGTGTTGCACAGCTTCGGGACCTTCCCGAGCCGCGAGGCGAGCGCGGCCGCGCCACGCCCACGAAGAAGAGCATTGGACTCCGACAAACTGGGCTTCGCCGCGAGGCCCGCACATGCCTGGACCTCGCGCAGTAGGACCTCCATGGCGACGAGAGCCGTCTCAACCGGCGACACGGCGGGGGGCGGCGCGCCTCCCTCGCCAGCGTGTTGCGGAACTTGGCCGCCAGCCAAAGCTCCTTGCACTGCACCGCGCGCGGCCGCCGCGACGGCCGCCTGCAGCGCCTTCCCGGAAAGCCCAGCGTGCGAGCAGCCGAAGACCGCCTGCGCAGCAGGCGGCAAGCTGCCGGACATGGCAACCACAGCCCTTCCGCACGGGGGGCGCCGCCGCGGCCGACTCATGCCCAATGGCTTGAGCCAAAATGGCTACGGGAAGGAGGAGGAGGAGGAGGAGGAGGAGGAGGAGGAGGAGGAAGAGGAGGAGGAGGAGGAGAAGAAGGCGGAGGAGGAGGAGGGAAGGAGGAGGAGGAGGAGCAGCAGGAGGAGCAGCAAGAGGAGAAACGGCGAGGAAGAGGAGGCGGGGGGGTGGTCAATCAGCTGGCGAATGATGCGAATTCCGCCTGGAACGCATCCGGCCCAAGAAGGAACGGCCACCCCAGGCCGAGCAGAAACATATAACCGCCAGGCGTACTCAACGCAGCGAAGCGCGAGACAAACGAACTGGCCATGCCCGGGGGGGGGGCGAGGAGGAAAGGACGGAGACGAGGGCGAAGGGGAACAGAAAAGGAGAGGAAACCGACGGCAGCACCGGCGCCCAGTGCTCTGAGCCTCTGCGCGCAGCCCCCAAGCCCAGGAAAGGGGGGAGGGCGGCAAGCAAGCAGAAAACCGTTGGACGGGACGGAACGGGGGGCACGGTAGCGGGGCGCCGGGGCTTGAGCCACCGGACCCCGCCGTTAGGAGCGCGTGCGGGGGAAGGCGCGGCCGGTGCCAAGGCTCAAGCGCACCCTCCCGGTTCAGTCGTCTGCGCCCTGGTCGGGCCAGCGCGCGCTGACGTGGGCGGCCGCCCGCCGCCGCAGCGCCACGCCAGCCGCGCCGGCCAGGCAGCGGCAGTGCCACGCCCCGTCCGAACAGCCCCTCCGCTGGGCAAGGCGGGTCCCGAGTGCGCGGAGGATGGACGTCGTCTGGGGGTGGGATCGGCCGTAGGCTGACCAGACCGGGGGCTGAATCTCTAACCGCGCAATTCGGCACTTAGCCCACAAGCATTCGGCACCTAGGACTCAGCCCTCATAAGGCCGCCACCCATTGCCATAGGGATGATAACCGCCCCTCGGGTACCACCCCCAACATGTCATATGAATATTATCGAGCTTGCGTCGACGAAAAGTACGTTGATGCAGACAAGGTGTATCATTATGATCATACGTAGGTGTGTATATGCACATATATATATATCACTATCACGAAGCCTAGTTTATGAAGCCAATATTTGCCATGGCGACGTTTACTATGCGGGCCGCCTTCGGGGGTTCTCCACGACGACGACGACCTCGACGGCATGCGCTCGGATGTAGATGTCAGCGCCGGGGCCTTAGCCAGAGCTCCATGTGGGGCATAAGCCGCGCAATGATTGTGCCGAATTGGCGTGGGCCCGCATGCGGGCGCCCCCACTAAGGATGGCGACTCCGACGGCGGCGACGACGAATGATTCAATCGACGACTCCGAGGTCTCCGCCGAAGACTCCGATTTCGACTGCGACGGCGACGACTCCGACGGGAGCGTGCGGAATGGATGGCACACAAGCGGGCAACCTTCCGACTCGACCTTACGAAAAGTGCACTGCATCCTTCTTTCCTGGACGATCGGGTCACGGTGGAGAATTTCAAGCTGGGTGTCTTCAGCAACTCAGGAAACTGGAAACACACGTGGCTGGAAACACATGCGGAGCATGCACAGGCCAGTAGCTGGATACACGTGCAGGGGGCTGGCGCACGTAGCCGCACGAAGACCGAACCCTGAAAAGACATGCGGCGGTATGCGTATCCAGCTCTCGCCCAGGCTGGCCACGTCATGCGTGCATGTCCCTGGCAAGAAGCACACATAACGAACATCCCGTTCAGTTGTGTTCAAGTTTCTCGAAGAGGCAGGGACGCAAGGGAAAAGGCGAGGAGCATGAGTAAGACGAGGACGACGAGAGGAGGAGGAGGAGGAGGAGGACGACGACGACGACGCCACTCCTGCCACGGGCCCAGGGGGACCTAGACCCCTACCCGAGCACGAATCGATACAATAACTGAGGCGTAATCAAGCAGGTTGTTTCGACTTGGCCCCCGCCTCCCCCACTCCGATCAACTTCCTCCTTCCTTCTTCTGTCATTGTGAGAATCACGCTGCAATACAATGAGGACGAGGATATCAGAGGTATGGCGCCGACGACGACGACGATGACGGGGGAAGGAGGAAGGAGAGAGGAACGTGGAAGAGGAGGAAGAGGAGGAAGAGGAGAGAAGATGAAAGATCTCAGAAAACCATATTCAATGATCAGCAATCCCCAACGTTGCGCTTAGTTACCCACAGCAATCCATAGCAGGTCCTTGCATATCCATGGCCTGGTGCACGGTCAACCGTGGCAAATCCTTCTGGGTAGCTGCCATTCCGAACTGTCTTTGGTTCTTAATGGGCATTCCCAAACGGCCCCGCTCGCATCGTGACGTGACGTGACCGGCACCGACTGCCGTCCCCCCTGGTCAAGCACGTGATCGCCACGGAATCAAAAAACGCTCGCATGACGCGCTTCCGCGGATGGAAAAATCTGCGCAATTGGAAGGGACGGGTGCGGATCAGGATGCAAGATATGGCGCGAGTGCACCTCTGGCTTGCTCTTTCCTCACTCCATCCCTCCTCTCCCCCCCCGTCCCTCCACCTCGCCCCCCCCCCCCTTCCTCGTCCTCCCCTCGCCCCTCACCTCTCCCTCCGGCCGCGGCCTCGGCGGGGTGGCAACCGCCGTCGTCCGCACCGAAGGCCGCTGCGTGGAGCGAGGCGGAGTGGAGCGGCATGGCGCCCACGCGCTCGGTCCCACCAGCGGGGGTGGGCGCTGCTGGCACAGGCGGGCAGAAGGGGGCGGGAGAGCCGCCTACCATCGTGCTACCATACGGGAGCGCTGCACAAGGAACGAAGGGGCGATTTTCGGGCCACAGCGAGCCTTGGCCACCAATAGGTTCCCCGACGTAGACGTAAGGAACGGTCCGAAAACCAACCGCGTGGTCACGCCGGCGCAGACGGCAGGCCTGGCAAGATCGCGACCCGCGGGGGTGGGCTTGCTGGCCCAGGCGGCACACAGAGGCGTTGCGGCAGAGTGTTCGATATCGGGAGGGCGAAGAAGCGTGCACCTCTCAAACGGACGTAGGCGCTACTGGCCCAGGCAGCAAGCAAACAAAGATGGCGGGGCGGGCAACGGGGGATGGGAGAACCTCACATCCTCGGTCCGCGTCAAGAATCACAACGGATGGTTGTTGTTTCGTGTTCGGCATCTGGGGGCCCAAAATAGACCCCAAGACCTTGAAAAATCAGCAGAGGATGAAAAGCCGGTCGCCGGGAAGGGGTCCAGACCTCTTTGGGGCCAGGCTGTCGAACAAAAGCACGACGTCGGAATGTATGAAAGGCATACGGCAAGTTCCCGTCGTGACCCAGGTGCTGGTTTCCGACACCGCGTGGATCGTTCAGCCTTGAACGATCGGCGGCTTGCCGATCACCAGATCGTTCCAGATCTCAGGGTGGCGTTGTGGCCCTGGACATAACATCAACAAAGGTGGAAACATCACCCCAAAACAAGAATGTAAAATCAAACCAACAGACGGCCCTACGGACCCAATCCCCCATCCCATGCTCCAGGTCCGAAGTCCCGACTCCTGGCCCATTTCCGAACCATCATTCCCGATCTCCTCCTTCCCCCCTTGTTCAGAGAGGCGAGGGGAGCGTTTTCTCCTCCCACCTTAGGAGCCCAAACGAGAACCGCCCCTTGTGGGGAGCCCTCTCCCAATTCCAAAAACCCAACAATAACAGCCCGTAGCACCCTAGCGCCCTAAATAACCCGAACACCCTAAACCACCCTACCCGTAAACCAACCTTACACTCTCCCCCCCCACACGTCCGAGACACAAAACCCCAACCCTAAGCACCGTAGCCCTAACGCAGTAGCACCCAAATTAACCCTGAACCTGGCACCCTCCCCCGCAAATCCTAACCTTGACCCTGAACACCCGATCCATACGCACAGACAAACAAACAAACAAGCAACCGAACAAGCAAACAAACACATAAACAAACAGCCAGAGAACAAGCAATCAAGCTAACAGACAAACACACACACAGCAATATCCAGGACGTTCACAACCCCTTCTCCACGCGAAACGACTATTTATATGAACGAACGCTCTATACAGAAGAACCCACTGCAAACTAAGCGGCGCTCTGAAAGGCGTCGCTGAACAAGGCCGGGTCACGCGCGTCGTGCACCCGCGCAACTTAGACTGCAAAAAAGCCTGCGCTGCGCAACTACGTGGCAACTATGTGGACCTGCGCTGCCCTCGCTTCCGCCGTGCCTCCCAGGCCAGGTGCCCACGAATGTGGCGACAATTGCGTAGTTCGCACCCCCGACGGAACCGCGAGGTTTCAAATAGATCTGCGCTGCCCTCACCTCCGCCGTGCCTCCCAGGAGCCCACGAATGTGGCGCCAAATGAGCAGTTCGCAGCCCCCGAAGGAACCACAAGGTCTGAACTGGATCTGCGCTGCCCTCACCTCCGCCGTGCCTCCCAGGAGCCCACGAATGTGGCGACAGGCTCGCAGTTGGCAGCCTCTCAGGGAGTCCAGACGATGGAGGACGATGGAGGACGACGGAGACAAGGAGGCAGGAGGAAAGGGGAGGAGAAGGCAGGAGGCAGGAATAGGAGGAGGAGGAGAGGAGGAGGACGGAGAACACAGAGCTCCTTTAAAGCGAGAAACCAGCCAAGGGAGGGTGGGGAATGAAGCAGGAGGCACTCGGCAGGAGGAGAGAGGCGGGGAGGAGAAGGGAGGCGGGAGAGGAGCAGTGCTCTTCGAAACAAATACTCGATCAGAGGAGGGCTGGGCAAAAAAACATAGCCTGGCGAAGGACCCAACCATATGCAATTGTAGGATCGTCTCCGGAAGAACTCCCCATAGGGAAACGAAGCGCGTGAAGAGGTGTACTGGACTGGGCGGGGGAAGCGCCCGCAACCGCCGCCACTGGGGTCTTCGGTGGAGCTCCCTGTGGCAACGAACCGTGTGAGGGGTGTGCCAACATGCGCGGTCGGCAACATTCGAACCCTGCCACATGAGCCTTCGGTGGAGCTCGCACTGGGGCCACGGCGCGTATGAGAGGGGTGCCGAAATGGGCGCGGGGGCACATATGAGCATTGCCACTGGGACCTTCGGTGGAACTCCCACTGGGGCCACGAAACGTGCGAGGGGTGTGCCGCAATAGATACGGGGGACGCATGTGAGCACTGCCACTGGGACCTTCGGTGGAGCTCCCTACTGGGCCACGAAACGTGTGGGTGTGTGTGTGTGTGCCAATATGGGTGCGGGGGACGCATGCGAGCACTGCCACTTGGACCCTCGGTGGAGCTCCGTATGTGGCCACGAAGCCCATGAGGGGGGGGGCGTAATGCACTGGGGGGACGCGTGCGAACCCTGCCACTGGGGTCCTTGGTGGATCTTCCGATGGGGCCCCGAGACTTGTGAAGGGGCGTGAAACCATGGATGGGACAGACGCATGCGGACCCTGCCAATGGGCCCCCCTATGTGGCCACGAAACTTGTGAGGTGCGTGCCGTAATGGATGCCCTGCGACTAGGGCCATGGGTGGAACTCCCTATGGGGCCACGAAGCGTGTCAGGGATGTGCCGTCCTCCGCCTCCTCCTCCTCCTCTGCCTCCTCCTCTTCTTGTTCGCATTACTGCTGGTAGTCTTGTTTATTGTTAGTATGTTTCTTCGCATTACTATTGTTAACGGTGTTCGCATGTTATTCTGAATTTCATGAATATTGATATTATACCTGCTCCTCCTCCTTCTCCTCCTCTTCCTCCTCCCCCTCTTCCTCCTCCCCCTCTTCATCATCATCCGTCTGTTCCTCCTCCTCCCCCTCCCCGTCTCCCTCCTCCTCCTGCTCCTCCTCCTCCTCCTCCTCCTCCTCCTCCTCCTCCGATTCAATCTCCCCATCTTGGGGTACGACGTCTTATCCAGCCCTTGATTCCACTGCATGCTCTTCCACATCCCACGTCGAAACGACTCGTCTGAACATCTCATGCGCGCGACGCGTCTAGAATTGACCGTAGTGGTACCCCCAGCAAGTGGATGGCAAGCTTCTATGGTCGCCTGGCCATATAGTCGGAAGGTGCCTTGGCAGGTTTGGGCTCCGGCCAGAACACCGAAGAACAGACGTTGGGGGTGGAACAATTGTCCCCGCCAAATGAGCTCGACGTCGGAGACGGGGAGACGGAGAAGTACGAGGAACACGACAGAAGCATGTCGAAAAAAACGCTGCGGAATATCATGCTGGATCTCTGAGGAGCGACCAGAGGATGCGTCCAAACCCATTTTACCACGCGGACAGTTCCCGTTCATGCACACATCCGTCCTGGCAGAGTTCCGCGATCGTGCCCGTGGCACGTAGTGGGGTGCCCTCAGGCCCCCTGTGATCATTGGCGCTAAATGCTCGAGGATCCCAAACTTCGTCGCGTAGAAACAGAACTCAAGACGGACAGTGTTTTGATGCTTTCGGCCGCCAGGGGCCCCCACTGGGCCCAACGACCACGAAAACACAGACCCTGGCGAAAAACAGCAACCATACGCAGTTGTGAATACCGGCGGTTGAAATTATTGTCTTCGGTCGACCCCCTATGGCGCCGCGACGAACGCGGGGTTGTGCCGTAATGGTGGTGGGGCGGGGCGGCTGCAATTTGTTACCCACCCCCCAAGGCAAATCCGCTTCCCCTCATGGGGGCTGCACCCGTCCACAAAAAAACGATCGTGCTCGATTGGCCGGCCTGGTTAATGTCACGGCATACTCGGCGATCGGCACGCTCTATTAGAAGTGAAACGGTCTTATGAGAACTCAGGGTAGACAGCGGAAAGCGTGTAAGACAACATGTTGCCGGATCGGCTCGTTTACTGTTAAGGCACTGCATCGCTTTACCTGCCGCGGCAACTCCACGCCACAGTGCCGATCGGCGGCAGAGAAGCCTGGCAACGGGCATCTGCACAGCAGCAAAGCCTGCCCAGCGGACCATGGTCCGTCTGGCTTTCTCTCTGGCGCGGAGAGGGAGAAGGGGGAGGAACGGCAGCAAACGGGAAGCGAAGAAACCTGCACAAACGGAGCCAACACATGGCACTGGCTGCCGCCACTGCTTAGGAGAACGCTGACCGAATTATGCCACGCGCACACGGGATGATACGAATGTCCCCAACTCGTATCGGTGAAACCGGGAACGGCGAAGACGAGGAGAACGAGCGGGAGTGCACAAAAACCCCGCTGGGGTATGGCTGCGAGGAGTTATGCGTCGCATAACACCCGTGGAAATGATCCGCTGTTCCCGACGGCGGCCAAGCACGAAGGTGCAGTAACAAGTCAAGTCGAAGGATATCCCATTTGTAGCCTTGTCTGGCTGCCCAGCCACAGCTGGGGGAAGAAGAACGGCCAAAATCCAGAAGAGGAGGGGGAGGGGGCACGAGGACCCGACCAACGACGACAGAAACAAGACGGAGAAGGGGAAACTTCTACGCACAAAACTTTTGGCCACGCGGCCGGGTCAGAACCGACTGGGCCCCCCACGAGGAATATCTGTCCCGGACTCGGTGCGCGGCCCCATCGGGACTTCGAGTGGCAATCCGCTCGCAAGCTGTCTTGCGAACGTGGCCGAAAAAATAAACGCATAGGCCGGCGCCGAAAAGAATCACTGTCACCGGAAGCCCGCGGGAGAGGCAAACATGTTATTTCAATGCCGTGTCGCCTCGTCGCGCTTCCCGGAAACGCTTTCCGGTCACCTGAAAGCCGGGCGTCGGGATGGCATTCCACAGGAGCT